TGCCGCCTTTGTCACGAGCTAATTTTAGGCCTAATGCTATCGCGTGGTGCTAATACAAAGCGCGTGCACTCATAATTGGATTATGAACGGTCAAGATGGGTTTGTCGATACGATAAATATTCTATTTTTTTCATCATCCCCCGACATGGCTTTGGTGTTTGGGGAACCTAGCTAAATTAAATATCATATTGGAGGGAAATGCTTTCTGTCAAAGCAGTTCCTTTGTTATGTATAACATAACGTATTGCTATTTACACGGAATGGGAGAGTTTATTACTAGCCACATACCAATTAGAGTCTCTTTGTGTATGCGGGTGGGTTCAGCTCAATGAAAAAAGTTATGGGGGAAAATGGGAAAATAGCACTGACAAACCTATCGGTTGTCACAACATGAGCAGCAGAGCCGGTCACCGTGCTAATTGCTTGCTTTACGAAGTCTCATCACCTCTCCCAACACACCAACAAGGCTTTGTTCTGGCCGGACCCATGGAGATAATTAATATCCCTAATTAAAAGCTGCAATTTGGTTGCCCCTAGCTGCTCTGTTCATTTCGGTTGCCTCACGCGTGCAGCGCTATATTGTTGCGTGTGCATGTCCCAGTGCCCGGTGGGCTCGCGCCAGGACCGGGAAGTGTTACGCAGCACAGACGAAACGACGGCTGGTCGTCCGTAACAAACACAGCCAGATGTATAAATAAGTCACAGATGTGTTAATAAACTTGTATTCGACTCGTACATGTACCTTCTTACACTGTACAGCCGAAATTTGCAAAGAACACACAGGACGCTGTGTATATTTACTTCTTAGACGCTGGAAAAGTAAATGCTTCTTTTAGAACACAGCACCATCGGAGAGAAAATGTTGTAGTGAGTAGTACATTTATGTTTAGAGTATGGGAGGAGGGGAGGTGAGGGAGAGAGTAGGAATGCATCGCTGCCAAACAGAAGGACCTGAAGCAGGCTTCTGGTGCTGTCCTGCAGTCACTGTTACAGAAATACGCTGCGAATGCACGGCCGACAAGCCCCAATCCTCGCCTGCCAGAAATAATCACCACAACCCCCTAGTTGTAGACAATGCAGGTGCATTTCGCGTCACTGCACTGATGAACGTCGCGTCGATTGTTTTACAGGAGATAACACTCCTGACACCCGGGCTACTTCTGTCCGATATATGTCAGTTCTCTCAACTAGAAATATTTGTACGGCCGGAGATACGGTACCCAACTTCTCACAAGGTATATATATATGCTTTTTAAAACCTCAACAATAGGTGAACTGTCTCTTAAATGCCATTTCGCTACGTTGTAATCAAATTGACGGCGTCAATTCATCAGGACACTCACATGGTGACAGCTCAACTTACAAAACAAGTTAGCGTTTTACGACCAAACTTCGATCTCATTGAGGCAGTACAATCTACGTTGCTTCAGCTGGCATCCACTGATCAGCGTGTCAGATGTTAGCGATCAAACGCTGAGCTAACGTTCGTGTTTACTATGGCCAACATATGTGTGGACATGTATATGACACATGTAAATAATGAACATTAAGGAATTATAACCTCTCACTATTTATATCTCTCTAGATCGGAATACATATGTGAGGCTAATTAAAAGCCGCTGACCTGCGTTCCCTCGCATGTTAACAAAGCTGAAGATGCCCCTGAGCTTACGTATACATTATGCATGATCCTGCTGTGTTTACTGCATAACAAACAACTGTTTATTGGGAATTAAAACCCTATATATAAAAGTTTCGCTCATCCTTAGTAATATCTGTTTGAACTCTCCTGAACCCTGTTGCTCCTTGTTCGTGTGTTATTTAATTCTAAAACGGAGACGGAGGCACGCTGATGCGGACTATTTGTATTTGTCGGTAACTATCTAAAATTGGATTAAAATACACGCTACTCATTTGATTACACGGTATGGTTACCGAAAGAACAATTCAACATCTCCCTTCCACGATATTTTAAGAAGTTCAAATGTCTAGAATTAATTCAATTTGTGGCGTTAATCTCTGTCCTGTGGTGTTCTGGCGCTTCTTGCGCGTGTAGACATTTATTTGGCAAATAAGTAAACGGAGAAAAAAGGCGTGTGAGACTTGTAAATAATAGACTGAGTGTTAATACGACGTGTTACTGGTTATTCTACTGAAGTATGTGTCGTTCTTAGGACGCCGGTAGCGACATCAAACAATTTATTTACCCAGTCATCGATCTGTAAACATTACTAACTAAACAACAAAACGGACCCGGTGAAAGGCGCCGGAATCTTCTATTGACTTTCTGACATCAGATGTTTATACAGAGGATAAATTGAAGGGTTATTTAATCATGTGAATTGAGATATACCAGACCAGAAACCGTAGAACAATAAGATTAACAGCTTGAAGTGAAAAACGTATAGAAAGACTTTCACTAAAGTTTAAAACAGCACACAATGTAAATAACGCCCCGGTCGATTATCGGCATATCGATTTCAAATATATTTATTTTTTAACAATTATGAGGACGATCAACTCTTCGAAATAATAGCATACATAACGAAAATCGATTTCTCAGTTTTACTTACTATTCAACACGTAATTGTGTATTCACAGCATTCCGATATTAGAAATACATTTCCAACTTGTACAGGTCAATTTCATAATCTATAACCTTGACCTTATGTTCTATTTACAATAATAGGAATAATAAGGATATGGTATTACAGAGACTGTATTTATCTTATCCGATTCCACTCCTTATGAAGTGTTAAATCTCCGTGAGACTTAAGGCATACCATTACTATACAAAGGCATAACAAAAACTGAGATTGTTTTTGTCAGATTCGTTTTCTCATCTTATAGGGTGTTTATCTCTCTCACTGTTATTACTAAAGACCCTATATAAAGAATATATTGTATCTAAATAAATCTTGAAATACACAATACACCCATTCATCCAGATCACTCCTGTGGCCCGGACTTTGTAAGACAGGTTTACTTTGCCTTGTTAGCGGCCTAATCACCCAGGCCCCGTCTCCTACTCAGAACGATGAAGCTTTGCGGACGACATATTTTATTTACATGTAGTACCATTTAGTTGAGTACTCTAGGTCCTTTTTATATTTCTCTACACAAAGACGCTCAATAAAAATTCATCTGTACCTCTGTCTTTGTGAAGGCTATTTGAGACGTTTGCGAAAGCTATCGACGTTATACTACATTGACCGTGCCTTCTTGTAAATATCAACGATTGGACAATCGCATTTTCAATCAACGGCCTAAAGGGTTTTGTCACATTTATAACAGCGTGCCGAAGTGGTCAAGTTTGATCAAAGATTCAGATATGAGCCCCTTCGCCCTTTGTGACCTTAGTCTTGTTTAAAAGTAATACTTCGGCGGTATGGTGACATACATTGGAAACCCGAAACGATGTCGATAGAGGCTCAACAATCTTTTCATATCTGTTATAGATCAAAGCGTTTGAAATCCTTTCAATTTAGCCCCTTCTTGAATTTAATACCAGGTGTCAAAATAAGGGGCGTTTACGTTGAGATTCAGATAAATAGCAACGAATTCATTTTGCTCCGAGTTACTGTAATAAATGTTAGTTATGTCAGGCATGTGAACAATATAATCGACTTAAATACTCTAAATCGTCTTGTCAATATATCAGGGTTTTTTGACACTGTATCTAACACATATTTCGATGCACCGTCCATTGAACGTGATTATCGACATGTTCCTCTCAGAGACATGCGACAGCCGGAAGGGTTAGCGGTCCTCTTTAGCCCTAAATCTCCTCATCAACTCCACTTCCGACAGACAGGCACAATGAACTACTCGGCCTAACAACTCTCGCTCGTCTCGGGGTTGAATGGAGAAACAGAAAGACCCCCACCGCTCGTTCTCACCGGGGTATAGAATACATTGTCATATACAATTATAATTTCTTCCCGAAGACTAACCTTATTAGCTACAGGCCATCAACTTGTTTTCAAATATGACAACTTTTGACGAGAGCTATTGAGGATTTTTGTTTTATTTTTCAAGCAGTATTGTGTTGGTGTTTTTGTCTATAGTTATCGTCTGGCCTTCTCGTCAAATCTCCAATGTCACCCGCGAGAGATCTGTCAACATTCTGGTTCTTTACGATACTTCATGAAGCTAGATTGTAGTGAATTGACTGAAGATGAAAAGTTTTTTGACGTTTCAACTGTCAAGTTGAGTTTACCGTCGTGTTTATCTTAGCTGCCACAGGCAGTAGCCCATGCACCTGGCCTTACAGATGTACAACTCCACGCTACTGGGAGATAAGACGAGTTAGTGTGACCCGGGGGTCACGGGCACGTCCCCGGGGCTCACAACGCGGTCTAATGCTTGACCTAGCGTTCAATTATTTGTAAAAATAACCAACGCGGTAACGCTGTTTGACAAAGTTTGACGGATGTATATAAAAACACAGACAGTGTTTACACAAAAACTGCGACACCGACGGTGGTATAGGGGAATTTAGCATAGGCTACCCTAATGAGTGTTGATGTATATTAAATGTATGGTGTAAATTTAAATAACATGAAAGTCCCCGAGTAGCCTGTTGAAAGGGCTCCGTCACAGCGGAGGGCGACGAGACCAACTACGCTACTGTATGGGAAAAACAGGTGCTGTGTCGGCTTGGATCGACAGCGGATCCATGTAGTCAGATACACTTGTTTTCAAAGAAAACATAATTTAGGTTGACAAACAAAGCGATATTCCTTACATATTTCTGGTATCATTTCGAAGTTAATGGTACCCATGTGTGCAGTACGCTGACTATCCAAACGTTTACTACATGTAATAAAAGAAATGCCAATATCACTTTATATTTGTCATTTTTATGATCCCCTATATCAAGCCAAACGATATTTTTTTTCATATCCCCACTATAAATTTAATAAAACGTATCGCGGTGTCGATTTCATCGTCCTTTTTTGTTTTTTTGCAAAAGATATATAATGTGTGTTATTACCAACCTTAGCATCAATGACGACTTCTATGATAAATCCCATAGCGGCCAGGGTAAGTATCCGAACAGGGACATCTCCATATCCCATTACTATATGGTTCCATGAACGTATAATCCACACATAAATCTAGTTCCAAATGCTTAGGGAACTCTGGAATGTATATATAAAGGTTCTACATTCTAGGGCCATTGTCATATGCACAGAAGCCCTTATATTCCGTTATATTGATGTATTATTATACTTTACAAATATTTCGTTCACAAGACACGAACGTCAAAAGCATGTGTTACACCATGCTATACCTGCACACAATACAAGTTGAAGTAAGCCGACTGTCACAGATGGAGGTTTTTCACACACAAGTTAACCGTACTATCTCCAATACACGTGGTACAGGGACTGGATATGTCAACACTAGGTATGGGCGCTACAGTTGAGGGCGCACAGTAGTTATACGGCGCCTCTTCAGCTGTCCGGGACATAGAGGTAATTCCAGCTTTCATGTATAGACCCAGAGTGTCACCTCCCATGAACGTTTAATGTACCCATTTATAGTTCTGCCAGTGTCAAAACCCTGAACGGAACAGCGTAGTATAACAATAGCTCAGCGATATTTTCCTTTTCTCACCAAACCTTTAAATAGACCTACTATATGCCTAACACTTTCCACTACCAGTATCATTACAGCGCACGAGTGTTCCTGGTCGGTCTTATATATTGTATTAACAGTAGGAGTATACTGGGTGATACTCGACCATTGAAGGAGAAGTTCCCGAAGCTGCTCCAAGTCAGATTCCGAAGCTGAGCAGCTACGGCGCTGAAATGCAGTGTATCATAGATCGACTGCCAAGTTATAGTGGATCCCGCTCTCGCCCTGCCTGCGCCTCAGATGACTGGCGAAGATTTGCTCGCGGTGTACATGGACTGCAGAACGGACGATGACAACTTTGATAAAGTAAAACCAACAAATTACTTACACTGTCAATATGTAACCTGTTCGATTATGCAAACTTGCGGTATAAAAGTATTACTTGTAATCGTGATAACGGTACACGCGCTTCACCGCGGTCTGTTAGGGCCAGATAATATCAGGTGTATAAATGTTTGATGTAGCCATACTAATCCCACTTTCGTTTGGCTATTTGTTTATTTACACTAATGGTTCCACTGCGAAACTGTAATTTCTGCATTAATATACACCTGGTTGACTACTTTACGATACAGGAAGTCACATAAAATATCCAGGTGTGCGAAACATATGGTGTTGACCGTTCGGACGATAGCCAGGGGCCATTCAATTGATTCTTCTAGGTGAATAACACAATATCACAGTATGCATTGAGCAATGTAACCTCCTTTAGATATATATTATGATTTTATAATATTATCTTATCAAAACTCAAAATGGCTAGCCTTCAATGACTTGTTATCACAGTAACTACGCAACACACATGCCCACTCCAAAATAGAGTACAGACAAGTTATCATATCTGTTTTATTATTATCTGTATTAAATGTATTGACCGATTTTCTGAAGTGTCTTACAGGACATGTCGACACAGCCTGGCCCCTGTCCGAGGTATACACCAGCCTGGCTCCTATCCGAGGTAGAATGCGTGTATATACTATACCTAAACACTATAGTAGGGACAGGCCTGTACAACCCAATCATTAACATCCATTATTGACGAGGCTAACTTGCTATTATTTCTCCCGTTACCTTAGCGTCAGTATATGATAGTCTAGGTATCAAACGTTTTAACAAATTAAGCGATGTGTGGGCGATATACTATATATTATTAACGGTGGGCTGTCACTCACTACTAAACAAAGTGCCATCACGGCACTAACAACTTAAACGATCTTCCGTCCACACAATAGCTCAGGTCAGTTGAAGACGGTTACTTAGGGAGACAGCACCGGAAGGAAATAGTAAATAGGAGAAAAAAAGGAAAAGACAGATATCATAAGTGTTGCCATGGGGACAGCCGACCAGTTTTGGTTTCTCCAATGTCGATCAGCAGGAGATACACACATGTACATGTACGAAAGAAAATCTGCTGAATGCCCTATCTAGTCGCCTCCTTCAATCATGCATGGGGACACCGCAGGTCTACTCATCTCTCACATCAGCACATGTACGTCTACCGTGATCACGAACGTTACTATCTATACAAGTACAGTGTACATCATGAAGTTGAATCTTGTGAAAAAATCAACGAGTTCCCTTCGCAGACTGATAATGTGGCATCTTAAGCCTGCATAATAACAGTTTACGAAAATTTATATTTGCAGAATGCCCCTGATGTAGAACAAATTCTATTCTACTTTGTTGATCACCTGTCTGCTAAAGTCGCTTCCTCTGTTTACTCAACATTATGATGAATGAAATTCTGAAGGTTGGGTAGAAACGGTTCCTTGGAGACCACGCGCTGCGCGGGATTCTGCTGCGTTACGGCATAGCTGAGGTGTAAATTGGCTAACGACGGATAATTTAAGCCCCTGTGGGCTATCCAATAAGCTGCAAGTAAATGCACGCTGTTACGAATAAGTAAATAAAAAGACTAATAGTCTATACAACGTTGTCCGTATTGGTAACACATGGTTTCCGTTAGTAGTGTCTAAATGTAAAGGCTGATAATACTGTTTCACGACCATTGATTTATGTTTTTAAGTATTCATCCAAATTTAATATGTAGTTGATGGTCGTCGTACCTTGTATTGATAATATACAATGTGTGTTCTCCCAGTCTCGGCAACAAACTAGCGTTTACGTTACCATCTCAAGCATCATCGCTGAATTGAAAGGAACATCAAACAATATGTTCACCAATGATCAGATAACCTCTAATCCATCTGAGTTCAAAACTATATTTCTTATGTTGGCGAGTATCTTGTGAGTTAAAAACAAAACTTCGGGACGAGATACGTGTTTTATCTTATATTGACCGTGACATGAAAGCTGATATATAATACCACCGTTATAATGTTATATAACAGACCTGCCGTATCTCATTGTATAATTGTTCGGTGAATAACATGGAATCCCCTGCGTTTTCCTGTCCCCGCTAAGTCGACGCTGTGGAAGCCAACATTGATGGACCATCCCAGGAACATTTATCAACACGTGCGATATATATAATCTGATAAAGATTCTTCATTGAAAATAAATATACGCGTATACCTTTAAGAAATTGAAGTATAATATTTCTATCGAATAATTATTCAGGGGTAAATTAAAAAAAAGAGTCGAGAAGCACCTTTTTATGGTAAGATAACGAATATTAATAATTGATTGAGTGTTTGATTGATTGGCTTTACGTCCGCTTCACTACCGAGTAGTTCGGTTATCCAGCAGACGAAAATTCATAAGAACCTTTTACCCTATTTATAGTACCAACGTTATACGTGTTAAGTTGACTGGGTGGCGGAGGCCATGACACTGGGATAGATGCATGACCATATATACTTTTCATTTTCCTGGTGGAATCTGTCTACAATTTGTATAGATACAGTAAATGTGAAGTGTGGCCACGTGCAAAGGTTTACGAAAACATCCCGTCAATAGGAATGGCACACAAACAAAAAAATACTGGCTAAGCTTCTTATTGTTTAAACCCCCAGGTTGATATTTTGCTGATGCTTATAAAGAAATTCATCGAGTTTTACTTAAATATACTCTCTTTAAAAATTTCAATTGACTATTTGACTTTGATGTAGTCCTTTATAGAACGCGGGCACGCCACACGCATTCCAATACAAGCCTGTCATTTTATTTTTATAAATGTATTAATCCATATTACATCCCCCACCCCCCAAGATTCTGTACATACTGTTAGATATATTTCTAGGTACAAATAAGAATGTAAACTTCTGTGCACAATACCCTACGTCACTAAAGACAAGTTGATACATTTTATAGAATATTTCATTTCCCTTTTCATACTCAAATGATTAAAAATTAAACAGTCTATTTATCCGAAATTTGTTATTGTTGTACCCTGTATATATCGTTTTCAATTTTATATTTTCAAATAGCGCAACATTAATATTTCCATTATTAGCGGAGTAAGTACCAGCGCGTGCCAAGCGTGATCCCCTGGGGTTACAATTGTACACAATCATGACAATATACGTATTTCAATGCGTTTTTTTGATAATCAATTAAATCTTGAAAATCCCAGTGGATCATATTAAACTTTGAAAACTTCGCAAAATTTCTTACATATTCCAATTCAATCTTGCTTCTAAATAACTCGACAACTTTTATTACCTAATTATCTGAAAGATTTCATCACAATTAGGCGGTAATTACTTGGCTATGACCTTTATCGTACCTTTAATGGAATCGACAAAGGAAACCTAAGGCAACAGTACCAGTACTAAGCTATCATACATTCAATACATTCAAGAAAGGGTTTTTGAAAAGGTTTTGAAAAGGTTTCATTTAAATTAAAACCTAAAAGGAGTACCACAGCTATATAATCATACCACCGGAAGGAAGAAAGCATTATAACATGAATATTTTATCACGCGAAAGTGTTGCGTTTTTTGTGACGCACCACTAGTGTGTCTTTCCCTTGTCTTGGGGCCAGAGTTGAGTCAGAATTCTTTAACACTCGACAGCACGAATCCATTAATCGTTATATCATACGACAATTACAATACTGTTCTTCTATGAGTTAAAAAAGGAAACACTTCGGTAAAGATGATACTGTCCTCCGGCTAGCTTGGCGTAGGAACATTTTTATCCACTTCACGTGCACTGTCGGAAAGCACCCGGGGCGGCGTAAAGGAATCATATCTGCCGAGAATCGTCTTGTGATAATGCCGCAAAAAGTGTTTTATATTAGTAAGAGATATTTATCCATATCTTCCTGCCATCGTCCTGTTGGGAAAAAAATTCATTGAGTCGACGGGGAAAGTGTTAAATCTGGATGTACAGATCCAGATACCCATCTGGCTGTCGACGCCCTCTCTCTGATACCACCGGGGTGGGTGAGAGTTAACTCCAACATCGATCGATAAATCGTACATGCTTATTCAATTATTGAAAATGGACAATAGGTTTAACACGCAGACGTAACGTCGGGCGTAACAGTAAAAACAATGAGGAAACTGTGTCGAATGGATGTTATTGGAGGTAAAGTT